ATACATTGTATACAGGGAGCGGTCAGTACACAGGATACATTGTATACAGGGAGCGGTCACTATACAGGATACATTGTATACAGGGAGCGGTCACTATACAGGATACATTGTATACAGGGAGCGGTCACTATACAGGATACATTGTATACAGGGAGCGGTCAGATACACAGGATACATTGTATACAGGGAGCGGTCAGTACACAGGATACATTGTATACAGGGAGCGGTCACTATACAGGATACATTGTATACAGGGAGCGGTCACTATACAGGATACATTGTATACAGGGAGCGGTCACTATACAGGATACATTGTATACAGGGAGCGGTCACTATACAGGATACATTGTATACAGGGAGCGGTCACTATACAGGATACATTGTATACAGGGAGCGGTCACTATACAGGATACATTGTATACAGGGAGCGGTCACTATACAGGATACATTGTATACAGGGAGCGGTCAGTACACAGGATACATTGTATACAGGGAGCGGTCAGTACACAGGATACATTGTATACAGGGAGCGGTCAGTACACAGGAGCACATTGTATACAGGGAGCGGTCACTATACAGGGATACATTGTATACAGGGAGCGGTCACTATACAGGATACATTGTATACAGGGAGCGGTCAGTACACAGGATACATTGTATACAGGGAGCGATCACTATACAGGATACATTGTATACAGGGAGCGGTCAGTACACAGGATACATTGTATACAGGGAGCGGTCAGTACACAGGATACAATGTATACAGGGAGCGGTCACTATACAGGATACATTGTATACAGGGAGAGGTCACTATACAGGATACATTGTATACAGGGAGCGGTCACTATACAGGATACATTGTATACAGGGAGCGGTCAGTACACAGGATACATTGTATACAGGGACGGTCACTATACAGGATACATTGTATACAGGGAGCGGTCACTATACAGGATACATTGTATACAGGGAGCGGTCAGTACACAGGATACATTGTATACAGGGAGCGGTCACTATACAGGATACATTGTATACAGGGAGCGGTCACTATACAGGATACATTGTATACAGGGAGCGGTCACTATACAGGATACATTGTATACAGGGAGCGGTCAGTACACAGGATACATTGTATACAGGGAGCGGTCACTATACAGGATACATTGTATACAGGGAGCGGTCACTATACAGGATACATTGTATACAGGGAGCGGTCACTATACAGGATACATTGTATACAGGGAGCGGTCACTATACAGGATACATTGTATACAGGGAGCGGTCACTATACAGGATACATTGTATACAGGGAGCGGTCACTATACAGGATACATTGTATACAGGGAGCGGTCACTATACAGGATACATTGTATACAGGGAGCGGTCACTATACAGGATACATTGTATACAGGGAGCGGTCACTATACAGGATACATTGTATACAGGGAGCGGTCACTATACAGGATACATTGTATACAGGGAGCGGTCACTATACAGGATACATTGTATACAGGGAGCGGTCACTATACAGGATACATTGTATACAGGGAGCGGGTCACTATACAGGATACATTGTATACAGGGAGCGGTCACTATACAGGATACATTGTATACAGGGACGGTCACTATACAGGATACATTGTATACAGGGAGCGGTCACTATACAGGATACATTGTATACAGGGAGCGGTCACTATACAGGATACATTGTATACAGGGAGCGGTCACTATACAGGATACATTGTATACAGGGAGCGGTCACTATACAGGATACATTGTATACAGGGAGCGGTCACTATACAGGATACATTGTATACAGGGAGCGGTCACTATACAGGATACATTGTATACAGGGAGCGGTCACTATACAGGATACATTGTATACAGGGAGCGGTCACTATACAGGATACATTGTATACAGGGAGCGGTCAGTACACAGGATACATTGTATACAGGGAGCGGTCACTATACAGGATACATTGTATACAGGGAGCGGTCAGTACACAGGATACATTGTATACAGGGAGCGGTCAGTACACAGGATACATTGTATACAGGGAGCGGTCACTATACAGGATACATTGTATACAGGGAGCGGTCACTATACAGGATACATTGTATACAGGGAGCGGTCAGTACACAGGATACATTGTATACAGGGAGCGGTCACTATACAGGATACAATGTATACAGACAGTCCTGATACTATGTATCTGTTAGTAATTCTCAGCTCTGTGTATTTCTTTTTGTCGCAGATTACAAGACTCTGCGGATCGGCGGTCTGGTGTTTGCCGGAGTTCTCTTCATCCTGGGAATTCTCATCATCCTGAGTGAGTGACACGTTGTCACCCGGAGGGGGGACACGGCCCCCATCACCGCAGACAGCGCCAGATAGTCTCAGCTGCCCTCTCTCCTGGCTTTCGGGGAAACTTCTGCCGCAATTCTCTGCTGACTGAGAGCCAGAGAGAGAACCCAGGACTTTCTTAGGAAATTCCAATATTATTTGGTTGTATGGAGGGGCCCCCCTTCATCCGTGTCCCCACTGGGGAGATTCACCGTCACTGTGTGTCCTGGTGACCAGGGCCACCTGGACAGGAAGTAAGGCAAAGCAAAAGATTTGAGTTGTAACAAAATAGGAACAGAGCAGAAATCTTCCAGTGGGGACACACGCTTTGGAGAGATTTCCTCACTATTCCTGTTGTTCACTTCCTCCAGGACAGGAAGTGAAGGTGAAATCCACCCAATGGGGTACAGCAAAAGAGAAAAAAAAAAAAAGATCCACAATACCGGATGTAACCATTCCCTACTCCATTGTAAACTAAAAACAAAAGTGTGGTTATAGAGAGAGAGAGAGAGAGGGAAGGGGGGGGGAGAAAGGGAAGGGGGGGGAGAGAAAGAAGGAGGGAAGGGGGGGAAGAAAAGAAAGCAAAGGAGGGAAAGGGGGGGGGGAGAGAAAGAAAGAAGGAGGGAAAGGGGGGGGGGAAAGGGGAAGGAAAGGAGGGACAGGGGGTGGGGAAAGGAGGAGGGAAAGGAGGGGGGAAAGGAGGAGGGAAAGGGGGAGGGGGAAAAGGAGGAGGGAAAGGGGGGGAGGGGGAAAGAAGGAGGGAAAGGGGGGGGAAAGGGGGGGGGAGGGGGGGAAAGAAGGAGGGAAAGGGGGGGGTGAGAGAAGGACGGAAAGGGGGGAGAGGAGGAGGGAAAAGGGGGGGGGGGAGAGAAAGACGGAAAGGCAGGGGGGGAGAGAAGGAGAAGGACGGAAGGGAGGGGGGGAGAGAGAGAAGGGACGGAAAAGGACGGAGGGGGGGAGAGAGGAAGGACGGAAAGGGGGAGGAGAGAGAAGGACGGAAAGGGGGGGGGGGAGAAAGAAGGACGGAAAGGGGAGGATGAGAGAAGGACGGAAAGGGGGGGGGAGAAGAGAAGGACGGAAAGGGGGGGGAGAGAGAAGGACAGAAAGGGGGGGGAGAGAGAAGGACGGAAAGGAGGGGGGGGGAGAGAAGGACGGAAAGGGGGGGGGAGAGAAGGACGGAAAGGGGGGGGGAGAGAAGGACGGAAAGGGGGGGGGGAAGGGGGGGAGAGAAGGACAGAAAGGGGGGGGAGAGAGAAGGACGGAAAGGGGGGGGGGGAGAGAAGGACGGAGAAGAGGGGGGGGAGAGGAGGCAGAAAGGGGGGGGAGAAAGGGAAAGGGGGGGAGAGAGAAGGCGGAAAGGGGGGGGGGAGAGAGAAGGCGGAAAGGGGGGGAGAGAGAAAGGGACGGAAAGGGGGGGAGAGAGGAGGGACGGAAAGGGGGGGGGGGAGAGAGGACAGAAAGGGGGGGGACGAGAGGAGGACAGAAAGGGGGGGAGAGAAGGACAGAAAGGGGGGGGGAGAGAGAAGGACAGAAAGGGGGGGGGGGAGAGAAGGACAGAAAGGGGGGGGGGGAGAGAAGGACAGAAAGGGGGGGGGGAGAGAGAAGGACAGAAAGGGGGGGGAGAGAAGGTCAGAAAGGGGGGGGGAGGAGAAGGGAAAGGGGGGGGGGGAGGAGGAAGGACAGAAAGGGGGGGGAGAGAAGGACAGAAAGGGGGGGGGGAGAGAAGGACAGAAAGGGGGGGGGGGAGAGAAAGGACAGAAAGGGGGGGGGAGAGAAATGTAAACACATGAGCACACAAGCAATCCCTTGATCTGACTATAAGATGTACAATTTCTTTGTTCCCGTCTTTGGATGGTGAATCGTGACGGCTCCCCATACAATCCAATCATTCTGTATCCAGTGCTGGCAGATCTGCAGTAGATGGTACAGTCACATTGTACTGCATGTGGCTGGATTTACTTGGGGGGGGGGGGGGGGTGATACTCGTACACACCTCTGTCAATCACAATGGTCAAATGATTAGCCCCCCCAGTGTTCAGAGCTTCTTAAAGGGGCGCTGGGGGGGGGGGGGGGAGGGGGTGAAAGGAGTTCGCCTTTTCTCAAACATTCATATTAAAAAAAATATTTATTTAAATTGTAAACGTTTTCTCAAAAAACATTTAGAGTTGATAGGGAAAATACGTAGAAATGGTAAACGAGAGCTAAAAATAACCCCCCCGGAGCCGGGAGACACATTGTAACCCATACGGGGGGGGGGGGGGGGCTTCCATATATGTTGAATACTCTCAATGTTACATTGTATGATGTCTCCGCCATCCAATCCTCGTCTCACACAGCTTTTGGTTTTCTGTTCTAGGCAGGAAATGTCGCTGCAAATTCAACCAGCATCAAAGGTAACGTGATCGTCCATTACACCGCTTTCCCCCCCCCCCATTTCCTCTGGAGGGCCGCCATCCAAATATTTATTCATAGAGTCACACATCCACACTGTGGGCACACGCTCAGGAGAACCTAAATCCTCCCTCCGGCCTCCCCTTCAGTCTTGCACAGGTGTATCGGCTCCTCCCCTTCAGTCATACACAAGCTGTACCGGCTCCTCCCCTTCAGTCATACACAGCTGTATCAGCTCCTCCCCTTCAGTCTAGCACAGCTCTCGGCTCCTCCCCTTCAGTCTTGCACAGGTGTAGTGGCTCCTCCCCTTCAGTCTTGCACAGCTGTATCGGCTCCTCCCCTTCAGTCTTGCACAGGTGTACTGGCTCCTCCCCTTCAGTCTTGCACAGGTTGTAGTGGCTCCTCCCCTTCAATCATGCACAGGGTGTAGCGGCCTCCTCCCCTCCAGTCTTGCACAGGTGTGGCGGCTCCTCCCCTTCAGTCTTGCACAGGTGTGGAGGCTCCTCCCCCTCAGTCTTGCACAGGTGTAGCAGCTCCTCCCCTTCAGTCTTGCACAGGTGTAGCGGCTCCTCCCCCTCAGTCTTGCACAGGTGTAGCGGCTCCTCCCCCTCAGTCTTGCACAGGTGTACCGGCTCCTCCCCTTCAGTCTTGCACAGGTGTAGCGGCTCCTCCCCTTCAGTCTTGCACAGGGTGTAGCGGCTCCTCCCCTTCAGTCTTGCACAGAGTGTAGCGGCTCCTCCCCTTCAGTCTTGCACAGGTGTACCGGCTCCTCCCCTCCAGTCTTGCACAGGTTGTACCGGCTCCTCCCCTTCAGTCTTGCACAGGGTGTACCAGCTCCTCCCCCTCAGTCTAGCACAGGTGTACCGGCTCCTCCCCTTCAGTCTTGCACAGGTTTCATGTACCGGCTCCTCCCCTGGACTGGAATGGCTTCCTCTGATGTCACTGCAAACTGGGAACTTCTCACAATGTGCATTAGAAGCTGCAGCCAGTCAGATAGAGCTCCGCCTCATTTCCTGGCTGGCAGACATCCAGCATTATCTGGCCCTTTCCTCCCCACTCTGACTGTCCCTGGCCCAGCCCATTTCATTCACTGGATCTCAGTTCTGTCAATCATAGAGGCTCAGCATCCTCTGTGGGATTTATCAAGCACATACAGCCTGCCTAGAACGCCACTCCTCCAGACTGACACCCACCATTGAGGAGTTGTTCCATTTGCCTAACGCCTCCCAAGAGCCAGCCCACTGCTTGCATCAGGACTGAGGGTTCTTGAAAGGTGTACTGGGGCAGGGTGACGCCGTGCTTTCAGGAAAAAAAAAAAAAAAAAAAACTATGTACAGCACCCAGCTGGCCCCTTCCACCAACCATGATCTGCCTGCATTGCATATTGAAGCACAGAGACCCAGTGATAACATCTAAAATAGGACATGTAATAAAACATTTTATTCTTAGCATGTTGCTGAGGGGGGAGGGAGGGCAGAATATAAGCAGATGAAACTCCAGTTTTAAGGGCACCTGTACCCTGGGGGCAGGGATGAGTTTCTCCAAGCACAGGCATGCATTTGTGTTTGGAGTGGAAGGGGGGGGAGAGAACCGATGGATCAGCTGAGTGGGCCACCAACAGACTATTGAGGGAACCACCAATTTGGTACTGGAAAAGCAGATCAGTGGACCCCCATACCAGGAAGCCTGCAGTGCACTAGAGTACAGGACCCCAACCCCTTGGTGACTCCCTAAAGGGATTTAGGACTGGGGGCAAAAGGTATCATACACAACAGGCATCACCACCCAATATGGCAGAACTAGACTTCCCTATTAAGCCAATGACAATACGGGGGGGGGGGGAAATTTCCATTTAGCCCCAGGCAACATCAAAAAGTGGCTCTTAAAGGGGACCTGTCATGCTAAGAATCTGGAAGCAGCTTGTAAAGTATAATGGAGATGGGTGGGAGGCATAGAGGACGTGGCTGAGACAATCTGGATCAGGGGCGGACTGACAACTCATGGGGCCCCCGGGCAATAGGGGATCATGGGGCCCCTGTGTCCTTGCCCAAACTCAAAAAAGCCTATGAAAAGGTACCAGGGGCATCCCATGGGGCCCCCTACTGACCCCGGGGCCCTCTGGCAGTGCCCGACTTTCCAAATGGTCAGTCCGCCCCTGATCTGGATGGTTTTCTCACTTTTTGATAGTTCTCACCAAGAACGGCCCAAGATCATTCCCAAACCTCTGGTAACAGGATAGCACACCTCCCCTTTCTCTGACACGGAGGACTTCTTTTCCGATTCTCTGTGGGCGCTGTGTCCGATAAGTCTGTTCCTAGCCTGACACGGCTGCGTAGCACGCATTGTACATGTAGAGAATCAGGCGCTCTGCTATACCGTTGAAATTGAATTTCAGACTTTCAAAACCATTAAAAACAATAATTCTTTCCTATCTTAGGACTGGGGAGCCCATTGAAGAAGAGGGATCTTTCCGTGCTTCCATCAGACGTATGTATAAGCAGGACGAGGGCGCCTGCACAATGATTGTACCCTGTGAGCCTATATAAAAGGTTTACGTATTGCATAATCCACTACTACCTCTGTGTGCGCCATAGTGGGAATATAAAGGTTCTATATATAGGTTTATGTACGCTCACCGGCCACTTTATTAGGTCCACCTTGCTAGTGCCAAGAAAATCTCTCCCCACATCATTCCAGCTCCACCAACTTGAGCCATTGATACAAGGCAGGATGGATCCACCACACCATTCCTCCACCACCACCACCAGCCTGAACCGTTAATACAAGGCACAGTATCCACCACACCAATCCTCCACCACCACCACCCACCAGCCTGAACCGTTAATACAAGGCACAGTATCCACCACACCAGTCCTCCACCACCACCACCACCAGCCTGAACCGTTGATACAAGGCAGGATGGAACTACCACACCAATCCACCACCACCAGCCTGAACCATTGATACAAGGCAGGATGGATCCACCACCAGCCTGAGCCATTGATATAAGGCAGGATGGAACTACCACACCATTCCACCACCACCAATCTGAATTGTTGATACAGGGTACGATGGATCCACCACACCATTCCACCACCAGCCTGAACCATTGATACAAGGCAGGATGGATCCACCACACCATGACACCACCACCACCAACCTGAAGCATTGATACAAGGCAGGATGGATCCACCACACCATGACACCACCACCACCATCCTGAACCGGTGATACAAGGCAGGATGGGTCTATCACACCAATCCACCACCACCAGCCTGAACCATTGATACAAGGCTGGATGGATCCACCACGCCATTCCTCCACCACCACCAGCCTGAGACATTGATACAAGGCAGGATGGATCCACCACACCATGACACCACCACCACCAGCCTGAACCGTTGATACAAGGCAGGATGGATCCACCACACCATGACATCACCACCACCAGCCTGAACCGGTGATACAAGGCAGGATGGGTCTATCACACCAATCCACCACCACCAGCCTGAACCATTGATACAAGGCAGGATGGATCCAACACACCAATCCACCACCACCACCAGCCTGAACCATTGATACAAGGCAGGATGGATCCAACACACCAATCCACCACCACCACCAGCCTGAACCATTGATACAAGGCAGGATGGATCCACCACCACCACCAGCTTGAAACAATACAAGGCAGGATGGATCCCCCACACCATGACACCACCACCACCAGCCTGAACCATAGATACAAGGTAGGATGGATCCACCACACCATTCCACCACCACCAATCTGAACCGTTGATACAAGGCACGATGGGTCCATAATTTCATGTTGTTTACGCCAAATTCTGACCCTACTATCTGAATGTCTCAGCTGAAATCCAGATTAGTCAGACCAGGCAATGATTTTCCAATCTTCTATTATCCAATTCTGGTGATCCTGTAGCCTCCGTTTCTTGTTCTTAGTTGACAGGAGTGGCACCCGGTGTGGACTTCTGCTGCTGTAGCCCACCTGCTTCAAGGTTGGACGTGCTGTGCGTTCAGAGATGGTGTTCTGCATACCTTGGTTGCAACGAGTGGTTGTTGGAGTTACTTTTACTTTTCTATCATCTGGAACCAGTCTGCCCATTCTCCTCTGACCTCAACAAGGCATTTTTTCTCCACACAACTGCCGCTCACTGGATATTTTCTCTTTTTCGGACCATTCTCTGTAAACCCTGGAGATGGTTGTGCGTGAAAATCCCAGTAGATCAGCAGTTTTTGAAATACTCAGACCACTGAGTCTGACACCAACAACCATGCCACATACAAAGTCACTTAAATCCCCTTTCTTCCCCATTCTGATGCTCGGCTTGAACTTCAGCAAGTTGTCTTCACCACTTCTAGATGCCTAAATGCATTGAGTTGCTGCCCTGTGATTGGCTGATTAGCAATTTGTGTTGCCAAGCCATTGAACAGGTGGACCTAATAAAGAGGCCGGTGAGTGTAGATCTTACCTCTGTGAGAAGGATCGGCAATAGTAATAGGTTTACAGTTCAGAGTCAGACACAGTGCAGAGGAGAGATATACAGAGAGTGAGGAGATCATGTCATACGTACACATAGGAATGAATGGAATGAATCGATTGTAGAGATCTAGTAAATTCTACTAGCTGAAAAAAAGTGGGGGGTTACAAAAGGCAATTAATAAAAAAAGAGGACAAATAGTGAAGGAAGGGTCAAGATTAATGAAAAGGGAAAGATAAGAGGAAAGGGCAAGGGATCCCTACCTTAAAGGATAATGAAAGGGTGAATGGAGAGGCAAGGAATACAAGAAGAGAAAGACAAAGAAAAAGCAAGGTCAGGAGAAAGGCAAAGGGTAAGATAAGAGGAAAGGGCAAGGGGTAAGGAAAAGGATAATGAAAGGGGAAACAGAAAGCCAAGGAATAAAAAAAAAAAACCCAAAACATAAAAGAAAGGTCTGGAGAAAAGAAAAGGGCAAAGGAAAAGATAAAGAGAATGGACAAGGGGTAAGGGAAAGGACAATGAAAGCCGAATAGAGAGACAAGGAATAAAAAAAAAAAAACAAAGCATAAAAGAAAGGTCTGGAGAAAAGAAAAGGGCAAAGGAAAAGATAAAGAGAATGGACAAGGGGTAAGGGAAAGGACAATGAAAGCCGAATAGAGAGACAAGGAATAAAGGAAGAGAAGGACAAACCGCAAAAGTAAGGTCAGGAGAAAGGAAAAGGGCAAAGGGTAAGATATGAGGAAAGGGCAAAGGGTAAGATATGAGAGGAAAGGGCAAAGGGTAAGATATAAGGAAAGGGCAAGGGGTAAGATATGAGGAAAGGGCAAAGGGTAAGATATGAGGAAAGGGCAAAGGGTAAGATATGAGGAAAGGGCAAAGGGTAAGATATGAGGAAAGGGCAAGGAGTAAGAAATGAGGAAAGGGCAAGAAGTAAGAAATGAGGAAAGGGCAAAGGGTAAGATATGAGGAAAGGGCAAAGGGTAAGATATGAGGAAAGGGCAAAGGGTAAGATATGAGGAAAGGGCAAAGGGTAAGATATGAGGAAAGGGCAAAGGGTAAGATATGAGGAAAGGGCAAGGAGTAAGAAATGAGGAAAGGGCAAGAAGTAAGAAATGAGGAAAGGGCAAAGGGTAAGATATGAGGAAAGGGCAAGGGGTAAGATATGAGGAAAGGGCAAAGGGTAAGATATGAGGAAAGGGCAAAGGGTAAGATATGAGGAAAGGGCAAGGAGTAAGAAATGAGGAAAGGGCAAGAAATAAGAAATGAGAAAGGGCAAAGGGTAAGATATGAGGAAAGGGCAAAGGGTAAGATATGAGAAAAGGGCAAAGGGTAAGATATGAGGAAAGGGCAAAGGGTAAGATACGAGGAAAGGGCA